ACCGACATGGCAGCCTGTTACGCTAAGGCCATACCCAATCACCTTTGCCACACTGGTAGTCCAATACCACTTGCATCACAGTCTTGGCTCTCCAAGACTAGGTAAACCATCCGTGAGTGGTCATCTCAGATCCACTCCTTAGCATCCTTAGGATGCCCACCGACAAGGGGAATAGCCTTCCCCAATATCCCTCTATCAGTCCCCACTAAGTCCCTTTCTGCCCCTGGCCGTGTTTGCCGACATTGCCACTGGATCGAGGCCCACAGGCCCGACCACTAAGTCCCACAGTCCTCTGGGACTTCCTCACCACACGACTGTGTCTTTGGTCACTACCCCAGAGGACTGCTCCTCTTCTTTTCCACAGTCTGGGCCTTTGGGACAACATTTCGAAACACCGTAGCCTTACGCGAGCCACCTGGGTACTCTCCCCGCCTTCCGCCTTTAGGTGCTCTAGCCATGGGCTTAGAGCGAGGTTCCATTGAGCCACGACAGGTATCCAAGTAGGTAGTGCCACCCACACTTGGACTGGGAGCATCGGCCAGTCGATCTCCCGGGGGAACTAGAGCCGGCTCTTGAACACTTCACCAAGCTACCCCGCTTGTCGGTCCGTGTTCACTCTAGTCTTGGACTTCCCAATGGGCAGCTCATCACCCAACACTGGGTCCGGCCTTCCTGGGCCAAACTGGCCTTTCTTGGCCAAACTGGCTCCATTGCCGTCCTCCCCCTACTATACTTTTGGAGCTCACCAAACCCCCCAGGGTCTGGGAGACGAACGCTTTGGGCTTTCACCCTCTTAGACTCGAACTCGGACTCGGACTCGGACTTGGACTCGGACTTGGACTCGGACTCGGACTCGGGCTCGGGCTCGGTCTCGGCCTCAGCCTCGGTCTTGGTCTCAGTCCCGATCTCGGTCTCGGTCTCGGTCCCGGTCTTGGTCCCGGTCTCGGTCTCGACTTCGGACTCCATCTTGGGTCCATCTCGGACTCCATCTCGGACTCCATCTCGGGTCCATCTCGGACTCCATCTCGGGTCCATCTTGGACTCCATCTCGGACTTCATCTCGGACTCCATCTCGGGTCCATCTCGGACTCCATCTCGGGTCCATCTCGGACTCCATCTCGGGTCCATCTCGGACTCCATCTCAGGTCCATCTCAGACTCCATCTCGGTCCATCTTGGACTCCATCTCGGACTCCATATCGGACTCCATCTCGGACTCCATATCGGACTCCATATCGGACTCCATCTCAGACTCCATCTCGGACTCCATATCGGACTCCATCTCGGACTCCATCTTGGACTCCATATCGGACTCCACTTTGGGTCCATCTCGGACTCCATCTCGGACTCCACTTCGGGTCCATCTCGGACTCCATCTTGGACACTTCCACGTGTCATGTGTTGGTCCTTTTTGGGTCCCTTTTTGGAGCCTTGCTTATTGCTCGCTTCGTGCTCGCTCCTTGAGCACTTTGTTGGGAGTTCCACTCCCGTTCTCGACCTTTTAAGTCGGAGCTTTTAGTCCAAACGTGTTACGCTCGTTTGGCTTTCACTTCGGCCACTACCACGTGGCACCCTTCCGGCTCCACTTTGGGGTCTAGGGATTTTGTGTCTCACAGACATGTGGCAATCTTGGCCCCAGACGATAGGTCAAATTCAAAGATATCAGAATACTCTTTCATTAGCCGATCAACCGCTGCAAAACAAAAACTGTCGGAGGGATCGGAAAAGGAAAGAGCAAAACAAAATGGAAATATAGGAGGAAATAGTGGGGGAACAAAAGTAATGGAAGCAGAGATAGAAGTAAAGAGACGAAGAGGTATGGAAGTAAGAGGAATGGATGAAACATAAGGAAGTATGGGACAAGGGGGAAAAGCCTCAAAATCACACTTGGCATGATTGCGCTGCAACCAATCCATATCAAGAATAAGGTCAAAAGCTTAACTCGGCACCACCTGTAATGACTACAACTCAAACTCGAGATCGCCCACACGCACAACCAGATCCGCCTCATCCCATGCACATTCATGTGTACAGCCGTTGCCATAAAGAATGAAAACTGATTCCACTGCACGACGTAAGTGTAGACGGCAACGTGTGGCAATAGGTCAAATAATAGAAGATAAACTCGAACTTGTATCAACCAACACGGAGAGAATAATATGAGACCTCTTGTTATAAAACGAGTTTGGAAAGTAAACACTGGATGAACTGGTGCCGAGTGAACCCCTTGATGATACTCCTGAAAGAAAGATGAAGGGGTCACTAACTTATTCACGCAAGGTCCCTTCGTTACTCGTGTGACTCCTCGTTTCCCGGATGCATCTCAGTGTCCAAACCTTCCACTGCAGCAACACTAATAGGACATTGCTGACGCCAAGGTCTCCACCCAGGAAATGGAGGTCGCCAATTTGGAAAACACCGACAGCGCTAATAAGTATGACCAACCTCATCACATGCCCAACAGCGAACATCATGGCCATGACCACATCCTTGCCCTTGTCCTTGGACTCGAGCAGCAACAGCATCAACCTCCATTGGAACAAGACCATCACCCATAAGAAGGGGAGTTGAAGGACGGGCAGCGAGAAGTGGAAGAGGTGACATCTCATAATGTTGTGCCAAGCAAAGAACATCGTCAAGGGTGGTGGGAGCAAGTGCATGCACAAGTCCAACAAGATTTTGACGAAGTGTTGGCCACAACATTCCTAGCTTGATCCGTTCCGAGATATTTAGCTCCGCACGAAGCAAAAGACTTCGGAAACAAACGCTAAATTGCATCACTGACTCAGATGGCCCTTGACAAAGACGATGCAGTTGTTAGAAGGCATTATCACAGTCATCGGCATGTTTGAAGGCGCATTTGAAGATGTCCGGGAGAACACTCTAATCCCCATGAGTGGCTATGCTTAGACCATTGTACCATTGTAACACAGTCCCTTGGAAACACATGGGAAACTCACATAAACGTCGAGCATCATCCCAAGAATGATATGTGGCAATCACCTTGAAGTGATCGAACCAATGGTATACATCATCCCTAAGATTCCTGCGAAAGAACTCTGGCTGAATGTGAGGATTATCACCAAAAGCAGGAGGAGTTGTACCACGTGCCGTGAATGCTGCCATGAACTGAGTTTGGTTGTTCAATTGCAAGCATATAGCATTAAGTAATTGTACCAACTGTTGCTCCAAAGTCAAAGGAGGAGATTGCTGATCTGCCATGAAGATGGACGAAGAAAGAGCAAAAGAAGAGAAACGACAAAAAGCAAAAAGGAAATGGGAGATCTAAACAATGCAAAAAGCTAGATATAAACTAAAATCCTAAAAAAGAAGAATAAAAAAAAGGAAATGGAAAAAGCTAGATCTAGATGATGCAAAAGTTACATCTAAACCAAAATCCCAAATTCAAGCACTTTTTAGGGACAATCAAAGGTACCCCTCACCTCCACCAATGTGAATGCTTGGAATATGAAAAGGGAATACAAAAAAAGTGCATATCAATTAGCCTAAAAACCTTAGCTTATATACATGAGCAAGTGGTTCATATTGAAACCAATCTGATGGTTACCAAAATCTCACTACGCTAATATTAGTATATGGCATCGTAGCGTACACTTGGCCCTTACAAAATAAAATTAAAATATAAATTTTTAATTTAATTCCAGGTTAAATTAAATTAAATTTCAACATTTATTTTGTGTGGGCAAATGATTATTAAAAAAATTGTTGACCTAAGGTAAATAATGTTTTTAATTTAAAGATGAGGTTTTATTGTAAGGAATAATTTAATATTTTTATTTTATATATGTAATATAGTAATACCAGATATTTACAATATAAATATAAATTAATTTTAAATTTTTAGTTTTGTATTCTACCCAATTTGTTATTAATTAAATTTAATCTAATCAATTGTGTAATTTAAGACCTTTATTGATAGTATTTTTAGTTTTTGATTGGGTACAATATACCTCAGTCTAAATGTAATTTATCCTATATAATACAAGTGCAGTCACGGTCAATACAATGTATATAACATGTGTCACAATGCTTTCTTTTTTCATTCTATTTTAAATTATTATATAATAACAAAATACTTTATATAAGTTTAAAAATATTTATATATTTTATTTTACTTTGGCATTTAAATTTTTAGAAAAATTAATTAATTATAAAATAAATAAGTTATTTTTATTTTAAAATAGTAAGTTTAAAATAAATTAAAATCTTTTTGAAAAAAATAAACTTCAACAGTTTTTAAGTGAATACGTTAAGTTTAACAAAAGAATATATAAATATAGAATGTTCTTGATTAGGTATAACATAACATCTTTATAGATGATAATAACTTTGTTTATTTTAATTATTTAGTGTTTAAAGTGCATAAACGTAATTAACTTTATTTAGTTTATTTCATTCCTAATCTAAAACCTAAAATTAGAATTAGAGAAAATTTTAAAAAATTCAAAATTATAAAACCTGGAAATAAATATTTAATAATTATAAATATATTTTTCAACAAAATTTTATATTTAGGCTAAAAAATTATAAACATACTTAAACTTTTCTAAAAACTTTCTAGCATAGTCCTTTACAATTAGCCAGTGAAAATTCAATAAAATATTTATATTGATAATTATATAAAAAATCTATACTGAAATGATTTAAAACTGTTCAATTGAATAAAAATTTATATAAAATATTGTATCTTTTAACCTAATCCTTATTTTCTGCTGAATTTCTGTTAATGAGCCCAAGCTTGTGCTTGCACTCATTGAGTGTAGCCAGGGGAGAGATCCAATCAGCCATGCAGTGCTTCACATCCTCCATCACTGACTATGGGATCAATGCTACCACTTGGCCGCATGAACCAAGAGCTCCTCCAGGCCATGCCAATCTCAGTGGAGTGGCTCTCGTCGCGGAACACGTATGCTTGATTATACAGGCCATCAAAGGTAGGATTGTACGTGGAAGAGCTTTGGAGAGATAGATTTTTCCATCTCATTCACTGGTCTGCCTTCTCATTATGTTGCTGAATTTCTGCTCGGGGAGTAAAATTGCGGAATCAATGTTATCAGGGAGGCCTCGGTGCCTGCCGAGGAGCATGACTACGATCATGATGATTTTGGGAGTAAACCCCCACTTGCCTGAGAAGCTCACGGGCTCGTCCACGCAGTAGCCGGGCTCCATCCTCAAGCTGCAGCTATATCCATACGACAGTCCCACACCACCGTAGGCACTGCAGCAAAACCACGAAACTACGTCAAGCTCTTGGAGTGATCAATCTACAAATCATCAAGGAGAAGGAAAAAAGAGCAAGCCTCGCAGAAAGGTGTTTGAGCAACGAACCTGATGATCTCGAAGATGACACTGAAGATGTTGTAGTTGAGTGGATCGTGTTTGAGGCCGTGGTTCACCGAGACGCAAATGAAGAACGTTGCGAGGAAGAGATACGCCGTGTCCTGCGCGAGGAGCCTCCGGAATTGTGTCGCGAGGGTGGTGTCGAGGATGTCACGCTGCTTGCGGGCTGAGAGGTGAGAGATGGCGCCCTCGTCGTCGACGGACTTTTGTCTTGTGGCTTGCCGGGATAAGAAGACGGGGTAAGCCGAAATGTACCTACAGATGGAAGGAGAGAGCGAGCAAGATAGAAGCAAGGGGAAAGAGTTTTCCAACTTACATCATGACAGCAAAGATGAAGAGCGTTGTGGGCGAAAGACCTGTGATGGCGACGGAGTTCATGCCGCCGCTACGAGTGTTGACACACTGAAAGATGCCGTTAACGATCTTCTCACCAGTATCAAGGCCGTCGAAGGCTGTGGAGTTCCAGTCGAGGATGTAGATGACGCAAATCTCAAACCCGTTCAATCCGAAAAAGGAGATGAGCAGCCACCTCGTCGTGTTGGGAGGAAAGAGATGCGTGTAGCACTTGCGGGGATGGTCGAGCAGGAACTCACACGCTTGCTTTGTATTGCCTTTGGAGAAGTGATGGAGCAGTCGGATGATTCCTCGTAGACACGGTGGGTAAATTCCGTTGCCGAGCATGATCAGCAGGATCATGTCGAGCAGCAGGACCAGCGACGAGTTGAAAGGCATCAAGTTCTCGTTGGAAGCGATGTATCCTACGTTGCAAAATGCCGAGACCACTGCAAAGAGCGAGAAGAATCCGAGGTTGGTCTTCTTGTTGTGCCGGATCAAGTTCCTGGGGTATGGCCGTCCGCAGAGAATGCTCAGCCAGGCGATGAAGAACCCCATGAGATGAACCACAACTCCATAGATGACGATGATCCGGATCAGCACGATGGTGGCCTGGTGCTCCTGGAAAACTTCTGTCAAGTGCTCGGCCTGCTGCTTGGTAGCCATCTCGGCCATCCAGGCCTCGTCCTCGGCTCTGCGCTTGATCTTGCTGCCGAGTTTCTCGAGCACCTGTGAGCCTCGCTTTGCTACCATGGTCCACTTTGACGAAGTGTGCTGCAGCTCCTCCACCCGAGGCTCGGAGCGAGAGAAAGTTTCTGGAACCAAAACCTCTACGACCGGTGGTGTTGGTGGTCCGACCAGTTCATGGTCACTGGGATCGATGGCTATTCTGGCAACTCGACAGTAGCGGTGTTTCTTGACGAGCAATGGCACACTGGAAGTCACAACTTGGCTGCCCAGCAACATCATGATCATGAGGACTACTTGTCCTCCGGGTGGAATGTCTTCTACAGGAACAGTGGTAAGTCCCGAGAGGCATAGTGCCGACGTGATGCCGTAGAAGCAGTCGACAAAAGGAAAATGCCCACCTCTCTCGTTGCCGATACCCCATAGGATCAAGCTCCCGATGAATGCTGCAATAACAAAGCAAGCAAAGTGGACTCGAAAGAAGGTCATGTGTTGTTGCAAAAAATTCCAGGCATTTTTACTCTGCAAGCAATACATGAAACTGGATCAAGATTGAAACCAAATTTTTGTTTTACCAATTGGGTGTCATGACAATCTTTAAACCAATTCATTCCAAGAATTGATTCTTCTAATCGCACTCAAATAATCCCGATAGGTAAAATCATTGCCATTGCAACCTTCATCTGGAGCCAAGACAACCACGCTTCTTGGAGTGCTTACACCAAGATCTACCATACCTGCCCAAGATTTAGCCCTAAAGCTAGACCTAATCCGCCCTGCCTTTTCCCGCCCCTTGGGATCTTTCTAAAGCATTCGAATTCGAACTTAAAAATTTAAAATAACCCGCGGAGGAAGAATCTGATCCTTTCAAGATTGTACGCCAATGCTAGTACTACGGTTGTCCCGCTTCCGAGTCGCGCGGACTTGTTTTTTCTTTGTTTCTTAGAATTCCTGAGGAATCGTGAGTGAGTGACACTTACGGAGTGCCAAACTTTTGGAACAATTCGCACTAAAGAATCGATCAATCGGATCGGCCGCGCGAGCGAGCACTACGATGGCGTAAGCGTGAAATGTTTACGCGTTCTCGCCTTTGAATCTTTCAAGCCGGCGCTGTTTCATGTCGCTTTCGTGCTTGGCTTTGCAGGCACGAAGCACGGATGCATAAAGCCCGGTAATCGCCCCTCAATTGCCCATCAATCGCTCCCAATCGCTCTTACCTGGGTCTTCTTCTCTTCGCTTCGAATTTGCCCCTTTTGCTTTGAGCTGGGATTCTGCTAGAGATCATCAGGAAATTGTCATGGCTTTTCGCTCGTCCTTGATCGTCGTTCCAGCCCTTCTGGTCGTGCAGGCGATTGGAATGGCGATGGCGCAATCCGCCGATGCTCCAGCACCGCCCCCAGATTCCGGTGCCATGGCTTTCGCCCCAAGTCTAATTTGGATCGCAGCGTCTGGCCTCGCGTCGATGTTCATCGCCAGAACGCTCCATCTGTGAAGAAATTTGTACGATTCTATGATTCTTTTTCGCCGTTCTTGAAATAAATTGCCACTATAGGGCAAAACATTTTTACCCTTTGATGCGAATTTGCCCGAATCTGCGAATATTTGTTTAGGGTTCTTGGCGGAGATGGTGGACATGGCGGCCTTCGGCGAGGAAGGCTTCGATCCCAAGGCGTGGGTGAACGCTGCTTGCAGGGCGCGGCACCCCGACGAGGACGCGGAGCGGCAGCTGAGCGATCTCGAGATGAAGCTGCAGCTGGCGTCGGAGGATATTGCGGCCGCATTGGAGGATCAGAGCACGGCAGCGCTGCTGCGCATACCTAGGGCTCTCAGGGACGTGTCGCGGCTCCACGATGACGCTCTCTCGCTCAGATCCACCGTGTCGGGAATGCTCCTCAAGCTCCGAACGGTACGAAGTTTTCTTGCTTTCCTTGCTCAGATCCAGGACCTGTTTTTTGATGGATTTTTATCGGAAATTGCGAAGGCAGAGAGCCTATCGGCTGGATCCGTGGCTGCGCTCTCTCGAGTGGATCTTGTCAAGCAGAGAATGGAGGCTGCTCACAAAACTTTGAAGGTGCCATTGGTGTTGTTTACGTTTTTTGTGACTTGGTCTTTGTAGACAGGATGCCGCAGGCCTGGCTCAACTCTGTGCGAGTGTAGAGACTGTCTTTGCCAGTGGGAATTTGGATGAGGCAGCAGGAACACTCGCAAACATGCGTCGATGCTTGGCTGTTGTTGGCGAGGTAAAGCTGTTCTCCCGGAGTTTCGAGATTAAAACTCCACGCGCAGGTTCCGGAATTCGCAAGTGTAAAGCGTGAGCTTGAAGCGCTGGAAAATCGGCTGGATGGAATGGTTCAAACGCGTCTTACTGATGCTCTTACTCAACGCAAGGTCTTGTGTTCTTTCCTTTTTAAGTTTTGTCTTTCCTCAATGGATATGTCTTATCAGGTGGAATCGGTTCAAGCTTTCCGAGCTATACTGCTAACTATCGGGCGCTACAATTCGCTAGAACAGCAGTACAGTAAGGTTCGATTGAAGCCATTACGTCGACTCTGGGACGAATACGAGAGTTCAACTGACGGTGTCGGAAGTGGCAAGCCTTTTATAGAGTGGCTTCCTACTTTTTACGATCAAGTTTTGCTTACGTTAGAGCAGGAATTGAAATGGTCTGGCAGTGCTTCCTTTTTTGATAGTGGGATCTCATGATGGATTGTTACAGGTGTATGACTTGCTTTTCGGAGGACTACAGCCGTTTAATCTCGAAATTGTTGATAGATACTATGTCCTCTATACAGACCAGCTTTACTGCTCGTATCGAGGCCAGCATCACACCAGGTTTACATTGCTGTATTTTTTGTACTTTTATCTTAGAGAGCTGAAAGCCGGTCTTCGTTGCAGCGCAAACATTACAAAGGCCGCCTTTAAACATCATTTTGATGCTTCATAATATCACATCTTCATTTGCAAAGAATGTAGAGCGCCTGTTCTCAGCTGCCGACCATCAAGAGATGATGCGAGTCTTGAAAGCTGTATATTCTCCTTATGAAGGTTACAAGCAAAGGTACGCCAACTCTTCACCATTGTCAGTGCATAACGTGTCTTACAGGTATGGAGAGTTGGAACGGGTGCAGCTATCCTCAAATCTTAGTTCTCTGGACTTGAAAGGTGCTGTTCAGCGATCTGTTGGCTCTCGTGGAGTGGAACTTAGCGAGACAGTGCAACGAATGGAATCTTCAGTTCCAGAGCTCATCACCTTTTTCGAGAGTGCGGTTGAGCGATGTTTCAACTTTACTGGGGGTTCTGAGGTTGAGGCGCTCCTTCGCGCGTTAGATGAAACTATGATCCAGTACACTTCCAGCTTGCATGAAGTTCTCAAGTCGTTGCGACCGGTCTGTGGGGTTTCACAGGTTTTCGACTCTACAAAAAAGGATTCTCTTGACGGAAGCAGTAACAAGGGCAAAGGAAATCAGGACATGATTCCCGAAGAAGAAGAATGGGTGATAGTTCAAGGAGTGCTGCAGCTATTGACCGTTGCGGAAAGTCTCAGTGGTCGACTATCTGTCTTCGAGGCAAGCTTACGTGGAACACTTTCAAGGCTTAAGAATCAGTTGCCTGGAAGCAGAGAAGACGGTGCCAATGCGTTGCTGGATATAGCCGGCCTGAGAGTATTGGATGCGCCAGATAAAGCACGAAAGCTTGCATCACTCGTGGAACAGGTAAATCTCTTTTCTATTCCTCATTCACGTAGAAACATATGAATTTTTGTGTGATTTCATTTACAGGCGACCGACCCTCGTTTCCATGCTCTTGCTCATGCATCCCAGAGAGTTGGAGCTTTTGTAGACGCGGCGAATGAGCTCGTCTACGAAGTTCTCATTTCTAAGGTGCGAGTAAGGCTGGCCGACGTGGCCAGTATGCCTGTGTGGAGTGCTCCGCAGGAAGACAACCCGTACGCCTTGCCATCTTTCAGCGCGTATCCACTGCCTTACGTGACTAGCATCGGAGAGTACCTTCTCACGCTCCCGCAGCAGCTAGAACCATTAACTTCATCGATGACAACCTCTGATACATCGGACGATATCGATGAAGAAGGCCAATACTTTGCGACAGAGTGGATGTTCAAGGTTTGTCCGCTCTGAAAATTCCATAGAACTTTTTCTCAAAATGGATGTTTCAGGTGGCTGAGGGAGCGACTGCTCTGTACGTGGACCAGATCCGTGGTATTCGCAATCTGAACGAGCGAGGAGCTCAACAGTTATCTGCGGACATCGACTATCTCTGCAATGTCCTGACAGCTCTGTCTATGAACGTTCCTGCTGTGTTGTCCACATTCCAGCAATGTGTAGGTGCAACCCGCGATCAGCTCGCAGAATTTGCTAAAGGCGTTGGCCCAGACTTGGATGGTCCAACTGTTCGTCTGGTGTGTAAGATGCGCCAAGTTCCGGTAGAGTAAGCCTTTCATGCTAAAAAAACTATATTTTTTCTTTATGAAGTTGAGCTTTACTCACCTTCTACTTTGGTGAGACTGCGACGCCTCGCCTCGGCCTTGGAAATAGAAAACGATAAAGCCACTGTTCTCGCTGGCCTCTGGCTCTACTTTAGCGCACTGTACACCCAGGTGAGCTTTTATCGCATTCTTCCAGGCTTTAAAAAAACTCCATACTTTTGCAGAGCTGCCGGCATTGAATTTTGAAATGGAAAAACAACTAAGAGCGAGCATCTAGATCCATCCCTTTGCAAAAGAGAGGATCGTGCTGCAGCTTCTTGAGCCCATCCAACGAAGACAAAGAGTAGTCCGCCACTGCGCACCTCTTGTCAAGCCACTCAGTGATGTCCTGGAACACCAAGTCGACGTTATGGTCGGGCTCGCCGGTGGTGAGGCCGTGCCACATCCCCGAGTAGATCCGGATGGTCTTGTCCGAGCTGCTGGCCGCGGCGTAGAGCTCCTTGCTGATGGCCGGGTCCGTGACGCGATCATCCTCGCCATGCAACACAATGAAAGGCATCTTCACCTGGCCGAGCAGCTTCTCCAGTGACAGGCTCGTCAGCAGCAGCTCCACGGCGGTCTTGAGGATCATTCTATCGGTGTATATATACGGGTTACTCCGGATGGCCCGGCGCTTGCGCTCGTCCTTGAACGACTGCTCGATCACGTCCTTGATAGGAACCACCTTCCAAGTCGGGATGAGAGCCGAGAGCTTGATGAGCAGCCACCGCAGCCACGGCGTCGGGAGCATGTTCTCGGAGATCTTACACATCGGCGCAACGAGAATGGCACCGCTCCAGCAGTTGGAGGAATCTCCCGGGCTCTGGGAGCCGCCGCCGCCGCTCCGCCGCTCCAGCAGTAGCGCCACCGCACCTCCCATGGACTCACCGTAGAGGAAGGCCGGCTTGCCAGCGAACTCGGGCCGCAAGCGAACCGAGTGGAAGAAGTCGTGGCAGTCGTCCACGATGTCGTCGAAGCGGCGGATGTAGCAGCGCATCCCGTCGCTCTTGCCGTGGCCTTCGTAGTCGATGCCGAAGACGCAGTAGCCGGCGGCCGCGAGCTTCTCCCCGGCCTTGCTCATGAAGACGCTGCACTCCATGCCATAGCCGTGGCACAGGAAGACCAGAGCTTTGGTGGCTGCTGCCGAGGATGGCGTCCAGCTGCAAGTGGAGAGCTGGATCCCGCGCCGGCTCTGGAACGCGGCCTCGCTCTTCACCGCCATCGCCGGCATTCTTCTCTTCTTCTTCTTCATGCTCGTTGCTTTCGTTGCTCTACAATGCTCGTTCTTCTCGCGACACGGCAATATAAGTTCGCAGCGGTGTCTGGAAAAAAGTTCGTGCCGAAATTTACTGCCCCGGTTTGAAGTCACGCAGGAAGAATAAATCTCCGGAGCGGCGCACTAAAGAGCCAAGTTCGTGGTCGCTGACTTGGGTTGACGCTTTGTCTTACCGTTTAAACCGTTGACTAATACTCCTAGTCAAAGACTATTGACTAAATTATATTCAGTTAACAAACCGACTGTTTAGTCAACAAGTTGACTGATTGGTCAACAAGTTGACTAAGATTCACCAGAAATCTCCGCAAGAGCACCTCCCGTCCCGGAAGACGTGGAAGCGGCTCATGTCCCGGCAGATGATCTCGCGCCCCTCCACCCTGGAGATGATCGCAGTGGCTCTGTGGCAATCGTCGCACACCCGGAGGCTCTTGACGATGCGGATCGGCGTCCCCGGGGCCGAGTTGACGAGCGCGCAGCAGATCGCCAGCCGCTCGCTGTGGCCGCACAGCGCCGACTCCTTGGCATCGTCCGGGACGTTGTGGAGCAGCGAGCTCTCCAGCCCGGGGACGTATCCAGCGGTCTTCATCGCCATCGTCAAGCTCTTGAGCCTGGCCTGGATCGCTGCGTTCTGCGGGTGGCTCGAGTCCCCCGCCAGGAAGCAGTGGAGCTTCCCGGCCCCGTCGCTCCACCAGCTCTGCCCGGCCTTCCTCACGGCTCCCTGGATCCTGCTCGACGAGTGGAGCTTCAGGCTCTCGTCCCACATTCCCGCGGCGGCGTAAGTGTTGGCCATGAGCACGTACGCCGAGCCGTCTTTCCTGTCCAGTCTCTGGATCTCTTCGAAGGCGAGCTTGGCGAGCTCGACGTTCTTCCACTTTCTGCAAGCTCCCAGGACTGTTCTCCAGATCGCGGGGCTCGGTCTGTAAGGCATCGTTTTGAGCACGGCCACTGCCTCGGCCAGGTGATTGGCTCGGCCAAAGAGATCCACAATGCAAGCGTAGTGCTCGATCCTCGGCTTGATGTGGTAGCTCGGCGAGGCCATAAGTTCGAAGAGCTCCTTCCCCTTGGAAACAAGGCCCGCGTGGCTGCACACGTTGAGAAGGCTGAGGAAGGTGATGCCATCGATGTCCACTCGATCGTTTCCACTTTGCATGCTCTCGAATAGCTCAAAGACTCGTTGGCTATCTCCTTGGTGTGCATATCCTGCTAGAAGTGCGTTCCAAGTCACTAGCTGCTTGTAAGGAAGTGAATCAAATACCTCTTGAGCGTCCACCATGCTACCGCATTTACCGTAGAAACCGATCAGAGAGCCTGCGATTGCTCCACACTCTTGAACCAGCCCGGCCAGGATAAACTCGTCGTAAATCATTTTCCCAACTTTCAGACCCCCGATACTTCCACAAGCCTTCAGAACCACCACCAGAGTCACCTCGTTTGGAGCCAGACCTTCCTCTAGCAAGCGTCTGAAGTAGAGCACACCGAGCTCGGGTTCTCCACACTGAGCATAGCCGAGAATCATAGCGTTCCACGAGACCACGTCTCGTTCTACGATCTTCTCGAAGAGCCTCTGAGAGTCGGTCATGCTACCACACTTTGCCAACGTATCTAGCATTGTGTTAGTAACTTTGCTGTCGGATCCATAGCCGCTAGTCGCAGCTTCACTGTAGATCAGTTTCCCAAACTCCAGGCATCTAGCTTTGATAATCTTCCCGTCTTCTGCTCTTCTACTTCCTTCTTCTTTCCCGGCCATGCAGGAGCACGCTTTCAGTGCTGCAACGAAAGCTAGTCCGTCCGGAGTCACACCATCTTCTTGCATCCGAACAAAAAGGAGAAGAGCTAACTCTCCTTCACCGCACTGCGTGTATCCCAGAATGATGGAGTTCCAGGAAACCACATCCCGGATCTTCATCCCGTCAAAGACCTGTGAAGCTCTCTCCACGCATCCACACTTGGCGTACATGTCCACCAGAGTGCTTGCCACTTTGATGTCAGCTTCAAGGCCGGAGATTTTCGCTTCGGAGTGAATCGCAGCTCCTCTTTCCAAGTTCCTCACTTTCACAAGTTTCCCATCTACCTGTCGTCCTTCTTCTTTCACTGCACAGCTTGCACAGGCCTTCAAAGCAGCAACGTAAGTCTGAGAGTTGGGAGCAACACCTTTCTCTTGCAGCCGATCGTATAGTTCCAGTGCCAAGTCTCCCTCATTCACATCCGCGTAGCCGAACAGCATAACGTTGTATGAGACCACATCGTGAAGAGGCATCCTCTCAAAAACCCGGTACGCGTCTTGCAAGCTTCCACACTTTGCGTACATGTCCGCCAGCTTGTTGGCGAGGATAATGTCGCAAGTTTGGCCACTGCTCACCACCTGGGAATGTATCTCCATACCTCTCTCCAGGCACCATGTTTTCACAGCTTTGCCTTCGACACACCGCCCTTCTTTACCCGCTAGCTCGCCACAGGCCTGCAAAGCAGCCACAAAAGTCCGCGCGTTAGGCGTGAAACCAGCCTCCAACATCTGAGCGAAGAGCCTCAGAGCAGTCTCACCTCGATCGCTTTGAGCATAGCTCATGATGATCGCATTCCACGAGACAACGTCGTGGCTCTTCATCTGCTGGAAAACCCGGCAGGCATCCTCCAAGCTCCCACACTTCGCGTACATGTCCACCAGAGTGCTCGCCACCTTCAAATCCGTTTCATGCCCGCTCTCCACAGCTCGAGAGTGGAGCGCTCTTCCCTTTTCCAGCCACTGTGCTCGCTCCACTCGACCACTCTCCTCGTCTTGGATCTCCTCTGCACAGGTAGCACAAGCTTTGAGCGCGGCAACGTAAGTGAGAGCATTCGGCTTGCCTTGGAGAAGTTCTTTGTGGATCCGCCGGAAGAGCTCTAGCGCTTGCTCGCTCTGGCCAGCGTCCACGTATCCAAACATGAGAGCGTTCCAACTCACGGCATCGCGCTCCGCCATCTTGTCGAAAACTTCCCGAGCTTCCAAAACGCTGCCACACTTAGCGTACATGTGAACTAGCGTGTTTGCCAGCGTCAAGCCGAGCTCTTCACCTCTTGCTAGAGCTGCTAGAGCCTGGCTATGAATTCTTCTCCCTCTTTCCAGCCAGTCCAATCTCTGGGCCTCCTCTCCATCGGCGCAGCTCACGCAGGCCTTGAGCGCTGCCACGAAAGTGAGAGGATTTGGCGAGAATCCATCGTCTTGCATCCGCTGGAAGAGCTCCAGCGCCTCGCGCGGCCCTCCATTCTCTGCGTAGCCAAAGATTAAAGCGTTCCATGATACCACCGAGAGGTGAGAGATGGAATCGAAGACCGATCGTGCATCGCGCAAGCTCCCACACTTGGCGTACATGTGGATCACACTGTTCTCCACATTGCTGTTGGCGATAGCGCCGCTTCCACTCGATTCCAAGAACGAGGCGTGGATCCTGGCGCCCGCCTCCAAATCCCTCACAGCGCTACAGGCCTTGAGTGCCGCCAGGATCACGGGAGCGGCGGGAGCGATCCTGGTGCGTTGCTCGATCGGATACTTCCAGCTCCCAATCGCGACGAGAAGAGACTTGCTCATACATTTCCCCAGGAAGGAAAAATATTTTAGGGTTCTTGAGAAGAGAATGGGGGCTGATGGAGAGAAGGATCGGCAGGCGCCGCCTCTCAAAGGCCGATTGCTGGCGCGCCTTGCTGTGCTGATCGTCCGCCACGCTGCGCTCGTCAGGTGAGGCGATCTCTAGTTGTGAAACATCTGTGAAAATCTTCCCTGGAATGCCCTGCCAGTTTTGTGTGCTGCGTTGCCGGGATCGTGTCGCTGATGCTCCTGCCAGTGCTCGCGAAGTCTGTCTATGTCGACGAGAATGCGCTATTGCCAGGTTTGAATACTTTCCTTCTCCAATTTTTTTCCGATCGATCTCGTGATTCCAGGCTCAGCTCGAGCAACATTCTCTCATTATGATACCTTGAAGGCGCACGATCTTGCCCGCGAGATCCAAACGCTACTCTCTAGCAGCACTGATCCTCAAAAGTCAGTGCTATTGCTCTCTCACATTCTATGAAAACTTTAATCTTTTTCTTTGGTCGTGCAGAGATTTTCGGAAGTGGCTGGGTGATCGTTTGGATGCTCTTGGAGCCGACTACTACTTTCATCGTTTTTGTCCTCCAACCCGGTCCTTCTCCATACTCGGGTTTCTCTCGACGTCACATACTTACGAGGCCGGGAAGCACTGCCTGGTCGACGGACGCGAGCAAACTCCTGGTGTCAATGCGGTTGGGATACTCAGAGCTCATCAAGGGGACGGCAACGAGGCCATTGTGCTGGTTACACCCTTCGAGTTGGAGAATCTTACGGCAGAGAACGCCATCGCCATGGGTTTATCTCTGTCGCTGCTAGATCTTCTAAGTCGGGCTCTTTGGCTGGCAAAAGACGTCGTTTGGGTTGCCGCGGACAGCAAGTATGAGAAGTACACGGCAGTTGCTGCGTGGTTGAAAGAGTACCATGAACCTTTGGTATCAGATTCTTCGTTCGAGGGGATGCACTATACACAGGATGGTAACAGTTCCAGGGACATTTTTTTCAAACGAGCAGGAAGCATTACAGCCGGGTTTGTCTTGGAGTTTACTCGTGGTGCTGGTGCTACCAAAGTGAGTTCTTTGGAAATCCACGCTGAAGGCTCAAACGGGCAGATGCCGAACATGGATATGATCAGCGTCGTCAACCTGTTGGTCTCCTGGCGGCAACAGTTCCATTTAACTCTTGAGGGTGTCCCGAGGATCAAAGATTGGCAGTGGTTAAGAAGTGTTGGATACGTCTTTGAGATTGTCGGGAAAAAAGCTGCTGAGCTTCGGAAGGCTTTTCTTTCTCATGCTAAAGCGAGCTTCACTACGGCTGAGGACTACGTGAATGGAGTTTCTGTTCTCTTGAGATCGTGCTGGAACCAAGTACGTATTTACCGTGTCAAGTATGTGAACTGAAGTGTTTTATGCAGATGCTAGGAGTTCCAACAGGTTCTCATGGAGCCTTTCGAGATTTCCAACTCGATGCTGTAACTTTGGAAGTGGTCTCTACAGATCTGGAGCATAATATGGACTTCTTGACGAACTTCGGAAGGTAAGCTTTCATTTGACTACATTGAACGGGATCGTAAACTCCCCGGTGGCTTGCAGGCTGATTGAAGGTGTTCTGCGATCAGTAAACAACCTGCTTGAAAAGTTCCATCAGTCTCTTTTCCTATACATCATGGTCTCTCCCAACAAATTCGTGTCCATCAGTACCTACATTATCCCCTTCGGTCTCCTCCTCTCCAATTTTCCCATACAGGCAGCAGCGCTCTGCACTAGTGTCAAAGCTACGCCTGGCTCCTGGACTCGAGCAATCCTTGTTGTTATTCTCGTTGAAACATGGTCCCTGGGTAACGCGATCTGTCCAGCCATTCTTTTCCATCTATTTTCCTCTGCTCCCACAAGGCTGGCTGTTTGGATTCTCTTGTCCGGCTTGTGCCTTGCTCCGGTTTTTTGTCTTAGATCTGATGCACACGCTTCAGATGATTGGTATGTGCCACTAAAATCCTTAACTCTGGGTCTAACTGGCATTGCTCTGGGAATCCTTTCCGCCGTAAACTTCTCCGTAGCTCTGGCCGGTGCATTGCTTTTGGTTCCTATGTGCCTTTCTGCTCAGCCTTTTAGTTCTTCTTGGAGAGCGCTCTGGAAGCCCAAGTCTGGAGTCATTTCTCGCGTAAACGCGGTGCTTGCGCCCGCTCTTACGTGCTTTCCTCTGCTCGTAGTTTTAACCATACTGGCGAGAGAGTCAGCCGGTTTGTGGAGCTTCGTCGAGCTGATGTGGTTTTGGGGAAGCGCACTCTACGTGTCAGCTTTCCTGGTCTTTTTACCCTGTTCCATTCTATGCTTATATATTTTCTTCTCTTGAACGATTCAGGTGAAGTTGGCAACTGTCTTATAACTGTCAAGAACTTTTCCTTACCAAGTTATGTGTTCTGCAGAAGCCGCCGAACTAGAAGGAGCAGCACTGCATCCAAATGTCCTACAAGGTGGAAGACAGGTCTCCTGGACCAGCTGCTTACAATCCCAGTATAAAACCGGTTGTCCGTTCTCCTCCGGCCTTCACCCTCGCTGCAAAGCGTCGACCACCTCCCAATGAAGATTGGAGGCTGGGACCAGGCATGTACCATCCAAGGCTCGGGCCAACGGGACCGGCTTTCAGCCTGAGCGCGAAGGGGACTCCAAACCTGGACCTGGAGAAGATGTGGATGCTGGAACGCTCGCGACATCCATCTCCTCGAGGCAACTGGACTCCTAGACGTTTTCTCCTGAGCGAGGTGACACCGGGGCCTGGCACTTACTCCCTTCCAAACAAGAACAGCGGGCCGGCCTTCACTGTGGCGTCCAAGCGGACCACCAAGCACGACACGGATGCTCCGGGTCCAGGCACTTACTTCTACTCGGCAAGGCCGCAGAGTCCCTCGTTTACAATGGCCAACAGGTTTCCTCCATCGAGGACGTGTAACCCGGGACCTCGGACGGTCTATGGCGACTTTTACAACACTCCAGGCCCTGCGCAGTATAACCCGGACAGAGGCAAACATATTGCTGGAAGGAGCGGTCCGGCCTTCACAATGACAGGGAAGTGGCACCGAGGACCGGATAGCGGGCTTCCGGGGCCCGGAACTTACTTTCCTCCTCAGAACAACACATTCGGTCAGGATATCAGGTGCCAGCATGGGCGAAAGCTACGTTCCAGGTAGTATTTGGAAGAAGAACTGACAAAAGCATTTGATTCCAGAATAAGTAACAGCAGGAATGAATAACTTGTCAACTTAAAAGAGCTTGTAGCACCAAAACTTGGGAGCTTAAGCCTATTGGTTGGAACTCGTGGCTAGCCTTCGGAATTCCACCTTGCCGGTATAGCATAATTGTGGCTACCTGAAACACTCATCCAGAGTGTGGTTCCTCGTGAAAAGTCACGCCTCGGTCGATCTATAGTTCATGTAAGAACTTCTCCTATTGGAGAGAACAAGCAGCATTACGACTTTGGGAGCTATGGAGCTGCGATTTGCTGCCGTGATGTGCGCTCTCTTGCTCGCTACGTCTACAACTTTTGTCTCGGGTAAAGCAAAACTTCACAGTTCTTTTTCTGCGTTTCTTTTGATCAATGTACTTTCAACTTAGGACTCGTGAAAAGCGAGCAAGAGCTGATCGAAGCTCTGCGCTCCAGCAGCCGGATCGTCGTGGGCCACTCCATTACCATCACCAAAGAGCTGCCGACCATCACGAAGTGCGTCACGCTCACTGGCCATGCAAAGTCATGCAAAGACGCGAGCTGCTACATCGATGCCCAGCGCAAGTCTCGTCACCTTGCTGTCTCAGGCGAGGGCGGAAGGCTCTCGCTCTACAACTTGGAGCTCCGGAATGGTAAATCCGGTAACGACGACGGTGGTGCCATTCTCGTCTCCGACGGGGGAACTCTCGAAGTCAATAGTGCCGCTTTTATTAACAATGAAGTTGCCATGGTAAGAGTTACATATTTGCCATCCAGCTTTCTCAACTAACGAGTATTTGCTGGTTTCACAGTTTTCCACCGGAGGTGCTATTGGCGTTAGAAACGGGAGTGCGGCCGACATCTACAAGTCTCTGTTCGTGAAAAACAACGCTGGCTTTGGCGGTGCTGTTGGAGTCTCTGAGAATAGCAAGGCGGACATAAGAAGCTCGGCCTTTCGTCACAACATCGCCAGTCTCAGTGGCGGAGGCTTAGAGTTCTTGGCCGCTTCGACAGGATTCCTCGCGGACAATACTTACGAGAACAACTCGGCTTCGGTAAGCTTGTAAGTGCTGTCTCAAAGTTCTCACTCTCTATTCTCTCTTCCAGCTTGGAGGAGCCACCACTGCTCACGAGAGCACAATCAACGTGTGCGGAGCGTCCTTCATCGAAAACACCGGGAGCCTTGAGGGTCCAAACATCATGGCCGAAGGTGGCTCCGCCGTCACTGTTTGCAGAGCCAGTTCGGCCGACGTTTCCGGCACCGTTGCTTCGGAGGACTGTGCTCCGTGCAACGCTGCTTTGAGACCTTCGCCGGGAGTTCGAGGAGATCCCCATATCCGTGGCCCTCACGGTGAAACATTCGATTTTCGCGGTACTCCCGACCAGAGCTATTGTCTCATTTGGGACGGGGACTTGCAGCTCAACATGAGGATCATGACTGCCACAGGCAGCTCAACTGTGAGTACTGTTTCATTTATTTTTATTTATTTCATGAAGTTACGTTTTTTTTTCCGCAGTATATCAGGGAACTCGGGCTTGTCTATCGAGACCAGACTGTGTGGTTATCTTCCTGGAGCAGTGACGGTGGCACCAAGCATCAAGGAACGCTTGTTATTAACAAGGTATTACTGTGGTGAAAGCATGGTTCTCTGGCGCTAAATCTCTGCCTTACCAGATGGAAATGCCTATGGAATCCACAACTTGGAACTTTCCCAACAATCTCTTGGTCTCACGGACAAGAAACGAGGTGATGGTTTTATGTTCTTCATTGTTGAAGGCTTAACTGTTTTTTGGTTGCAGGTGATAGTGGAGGTTGCCAAACGCATTCGTCTGAGTTTCAAAATCTCCAGGCCAATCTACGAAAGGCCTAGTTTCCTAAATGTTGAGGTAAGCTCCTTCCAGCCCAGTCTACTGCTGGTGGACGGGATTTTTGGGAAGTTGTATGGTAGCTTACAAGGCTCGGCCCAATTCAATGGCCGCGGCAAGTTCAAGTCACTAGTAGACCCAGAGAAGTACAGGGTGGCGGACATTCTTAGTTTAAATTGAGATACAAAAGAATTCGATAAAGTTTATGAAAGTTTATAATATGAAGAAAAAGAAACACTTCTATGGAAAAGAACACATTAACTTAATCCCAATTGATTACGACTAATCCCAGATGTTAGGGTTAGGGTTAGGGTTGGCAAAAAGGTTCATTTTCACCCCTTGTTTAAAATCTAGGGCACCGTCTTGGTTTTTTTCTTGGAGGGAGTTTCTAGGCCTCGCGAGCATGGTATTTGCGTTCTTTCTCTCGCCTTGAGCTTCTATGACTCTCTCTCTCTCTCTCTCTCTCTCTCTCTCATCATCTTTCAGGGCAGGTCGCCGAAGCGCAACAGGTAAAGAAATTTGCGTGTCTTTCTCTTCTTTTCTTCTCTGTTGAAGCAAGAATCTCCTCTCGTTTCTTCGTCTCTCAGATACAGCTCGTCGCCGCGATCTCTTTCACGAAGCCCCGTCAGGTGTGTTTCTTTGGCAAAATGCCGATAGCATTCTCTTTTCTTTGTGATTTTCTTCTCTCTTGGATTTGATTTTTTTTCCTTCTTCTCAGGGACCGGGATGTTAGTGCGAATCCTGGTAACAACTTGTATGTGACTGGGCTTTCGACGAGAGTGACGGAGTCATGGCTCGAAGAGTACTTTGCCAAGGAAGGCAAGGTGAGCCTATACTTATTGTTTTTTTTTTTCTTCTTTCCAGGCTATTCACTCCTTCGATTGAAACAACCAGGTTATAGAATGCTGCCTGGTAACTGATCCTCTTACTAGAGAGTCCCGAGGCTTCGGATTTGTGACGATGGACACAGTTGAAGATGCCGACAGGTGCATCAAATACCTCCATCGCTCCAACTTGGATGGACGCTCCATCACCGTGGAAAAGGTACAAAAAATTCATCTTTTGAGCTCGTGGTAATGACATTTCTCTCCTTTTCTTTTCTGTTTTTTTCTTCCTCGTGTATGTGACACTCTTCTTCTTCTTCTTCTTTTTTTTCCTTCTTTCTGAAATGCTCTTATGTTTGTCTTATTTCCCTCGTCCAGAGCTGTTTTGGTGTCTCAAATCATCGGAACCAACCAACCAGCTAGCCAAACTGATTGAACAAGCAGCTCGATCAATTGATGAGCTTCTATGTTGCAGGCCAAAAGAAAACGCGCCCGGACTCCAACTCCTGGCAAGTACCTCGGTGTGAGGAGTGCGAGAGAAGTCTGTAAGTTCCTTCGCTTCTCAAGCCTCTGTTTTTTTCCTTTTTTCTTACGTCCCTTTGATGACTTCCATGTTTGATTTCCACAGCCTACTCAAGGAGACGCAGCGAGTACAGGCATTCTTCAAGGAGGGGATACTCGCCATCTTCTCGTGGCAGAAGGGAACGCTCAGCGTCGCCTGGCTACTCTCCCTACCGGAGCCCTCGACGAGGCCGATCGTACCGACGTAGCTCATACTGCTCATCGCGATCGAGGTCGGCGTCATCATACTAAAGATAAAAAAAAGAGTCCATAGGTAAACACTGTTCTCATTTTGGCATCGTTATCCTCAGGTATAGGGAATTCAGTGATCTAGTGAGCTTGTGTTTATGGATCTAGAGCGATGGAGGGCCTTGTGACACACAAGGGCGGCTGCCACTGCGGCCGCGTGCGGTGGGAGGTGGACGCCCCGGCCAGCGTTGTTGTGTGGGAGTGCAATTGCTCCAATTGTGCCATGCGAAGGAACACGCATTTCATTGTTCCCGAGGCCAGGTTTCGGCTTCAGCCCGGCTCCGAGGAGTGGCTCTCGCTCTACACGTTTGGGACGCACCAGGCCAAGCATCTGTTTTGCAAGGTGTGTGGGATTTGCTCCTACTTTAAGCCGCGCATCAATCCGGACGTGGTGGCTGTGACTGTGCATTGTGTGGATCCTGGCACGCTGCGCGACGTCCAAGTCAAGTGCTTCGACGGAAAGAATGACGCGTCTTTTGCTGCCTCGGACACAAGCAAGCTGTCTAAAGGAGAGAATTGAAGTCATGGATCTTGGACATTAGCCATTAGTTCAATCCAATAACTTTGTATGCGCATAAATTATTTCTGGACTCCTTGTGGTTTGAGAGACAGAGGACCGGTGGTTGCTGGTTGTTTTAAGCCTTGACTCTGAATATGTACACTAAGAGGAGCGTGTTTTATTTCAGATGAACTCAGAAAGATACTGTGATTTTTAAATGATTTTTCTGAGTTTTTCTTGATGTTATTTCCTTACTTTTCGACTGGAAACTGGTAAGAACGAATGACAAAACAATTGCAATAGAGTCAATACTGCGGGACCAGCTTTTTAAGTGGGACCTCCAAATGGTCTCACTTTAATCAAGTAAGCACCACAAAGCGTTGTTAAAATGTGAAGGTATGTAGGATTTATATGAGGAGCCTTCACAATTAAGCATTAGAATCAGGTGTGATTGTGATGGCTTAAAGTTGGGAAATTCCGTAAAAGCGTTATCCTCGGGTATAGAGAATTCAGTGATCTAGTGAGCTTGTGTTTGTGGATCTAGAGCGATGGAGGGCCTTGTGACACACAAAGGCGGCTGCCACTGCGGTCGCGTGCGGTGGGAGGTGGACGCCCCGGCCAGCGTTGTTGTGTTGGAGTGCAATTGCTCCAATTGTGCCATGCGAAGGAGCACGAGTTTCATTGTTCCTGAGGCCAGGTTTCGGCTTCAGCCCGGATCCGAGGAGTGGCTCTCGCTCTACACGTTTGGGACGCACCAGGCCAAGCATCTGTTTTGCAAGGTGTGTGGGATCTGCTCCTACTATAAGCCGCGCTCCATTCCCGACGGGGTGTCTGTGACTGTGCATTGTGTGGATCCTGGCACGCTGCGCGACGTCCAAGTCAAGTGCTTCGATGGAAAGAATTGGGAGGCGTCTTTAGCTGCCTCGGACATAAGCAAGCTGTCTAAAGAAGAGAATTGAAGTCATGGATCTTGGAGTTCAATCCAATAACCTTGTATGCGCATAAATTATTTCTGGACTCCTTGTGGTTTCAGAGACAGAGGAACGGTGGTTGCTGGTTGTTTTAAGCCTTGACTCTAAATATGTACACTAAGAGGAGCGTATTTTATTTCAGACGAACTCAGAAAGACACTGTGATTTCTAAATGATTTTTCTGAGTTTTTCTTGATGTTATTTCTTTACTTTTAGACTGGAGACTGGTAAAAACGAATGACAAAATAATGGCGATAGAGTCAATACCGCGGGACCAGCTTACTGTGTTCCACTATGACTTTGCTGGTTTAATATCCAGGCATGGCAGTAGAAATTTCCTCCATCTCGGACTGTAACACAATCTTATTCCTAATATACGCAGCTAGCATTGCATTCTAGGCGACCATGCTTGGATCGGCGAGAATCTCCATTGGCAAGCAAAAGCGGCTATCATCGACGTCCAGGACTTAAGATCCCGCATAAGGAGCTGCATCGATTAACGAACAGATTTTAGTTTGAGCATCGATCGACGCCATGACCAGAGTTTTTCAGGATGCAAGACTCAGCCCGGATCAACCCACGCATTGAACTCGATCGAGCATAGGAGAGAAAGCGTGCTCTAATCATGACATATGTGTCAAGCATAGTAAAAAGAAATCCCTTGATCCAATTCGATTCAAAGAAAATGAATTCGTTAGAAAGGAAGAACAAGAATCAACACACTAATTTTGGTAGCCATTCTTATCAAGGTTAAAATATTTTCAGGGGAGGAATACTCGTCCATCTATCTAAGGAGTGAATAAACCGTCAATCGATTGCGTAAGGCGGGCGCCGCGTCATCAACAGATTTGGTATACGCAACTCGTATTGGGTTCCGTGTACTAGCAAGCGAGCCCATCCGTATTGATATTATTTTATTTGCTGCCGGAGGAAATGAATGAAACGGATAATTGCCGTTTGCTCCGGAGGGGGCTTGTTTGAAGGCCTAAAATTTGGATCAGGCACACACTCCACTTTTTTTTTTTTTTGACAATTGAGAATAACAAGAGTATATCTCCAAATCTTTGCTTGCATTGTTTTTTCTTGTAAGATCAAAACATATATAAAAAATCACAGATTGACTGAAATTCTCATGCTCAGTGTTTCACTTTGACTTTTCTTCTTTCAGCTTGCTGCTGAGTCTATAAGACCAGAAATTGAAATTTAAGCCAAGAAAAAACTTACAAAATAAGATTTCTACTCGAGCAAAGATAGTGGCGCTCTTAATTAGGGCTTGAAAAACTATCACCACCTTTACGCTTTATAAAGAAGTTAAGGACGAATAACAAGCACAATACTAAGAAATCAAGGTACCTGCTGAAAAGAGTCTCTATGGCTTGCAAAAGTGATGCCACTTGTAACAGTTTCTTCGTAGTACCTGTTGGAACGATACAAAGCAAACCTCGAGCTTTGATTATCAAACAGGGCCTGCACGATGATGTGGATCGGCTCGCCAGCTAAACAGCTAGCTTGCTTGTACGTGTTTGATATAGATGAAGTCTCTTTATAAACTTTGTCCAGCTCCTTCAGTTCTGGTCATCAAGGTGAAGGCCGAGGATGTGGTAAAACCCATTCTCTGTAGTGCGTCGAATGCAAGCGCTCCCACCACCAAGTTTTGCCGCTTCCAGCACTCGTTGAGAATGATCGTCCAGGCCACGGCATTGGCTTCCACAGGCATGCCTCGCACCATAGCCACTGCGTCATCGAGCTGGTTTGCTCGACAAAGCACATCGATCATGCAGCCATAGTGCTCGATACCAGGCGTCACGGCAAACTTGGACGACTCCTCCATTGCACGAAAGATCTTCCTCGCCCTCTCAACCATCCCGGCATGGCTGCAAGCGTTGAGAAGCGAGACGAAGGTGACACTGCTGGGCCTTAGATCCTCGTCTTGCATGGCGTAGAACAATGCAAGAGAATTCGTGTAGCTCCCCTGGCTGCTCCATCCTGCTATCAATGCGTTCCAGGTGATCACGTCCCTTGTAGAAACCGAGTCGAAGACTTGGCGAGAGTTGTCTAGACTGCCAAACTTTGCGTAGAAATCTATGAGCGACGTTGCTAGAACAGCATCGCTTTCAAGGCCTCTCCTGCATAGCTCACCATGGACTCTCTTCCCAGTTTCCAATCTTCTCGCCACTCCACAGGCCCTCAGTGCGAGGCCAAGAGTCGAAGCATTCGGTTCCAGACCACCGCGAGCTTTGATTTGCTCGTAAGTCTCGAGAGCTAGCTCCCCTTGCCCACTTTCTACGTATCCCAGAAGCAGTGTGTTCCAAGTTGCCACCTCCGGACGCTGGATCGCAGCAAAAACCCTGCGAGCATCGTCCATGCTCGAGCATCTCACGTACATGTCGAATAGAGCGCTGGCCAGGAACTTGTTCGAAACAAATCCTTGTTTCGTAGCTTCGAAGTGGAGAGCCATGCCTCTCTCCACGCACACGAGCACTTTCGTCTCCCTGGATTCTTTCGCTGCTGCCAAGCTAGACCCGCAAGCTCTTATTGCCGCTACAAAACTATGAGCGTCCGGTGCACAACCTCCATGACTTTGCATCTGAGAGAAGAGCTCAAGAGCTAGATCTTCTTCCCCATTGTCAGCACACCCGGTGATCAAAGCAGTCCACAACGTAACATCTGGATCATGCGCCATAGCTTCGAACACGGCCATACTGTCCACCAAGCTCCCACTTTTGGAGTACAGCTCGACGAGAGCGCAAGCTAGAAAGCCATTGAGTTCCATGGTTGCCTTGGCTCGAGCATGCAAAGCCATGCCTCTCTCGAGCAGCATGACTCTAATCTTCTTCCCACAAATCTCCTGCGCTTCTTCTTCTTTCTCGGCCAGATATACGCATGCCTTGAGCACCGCAACTAAAGTTCGAGCATTCGGAGCTTCACAGCTATGCTTGCTCATCGCCTCGAACAGTTCCAAAGAGAGCTCCGCGTCATGGTTCTCGGCACACCCGAGAATCATCGTGTTCCACATCACGAGATCACGGCACAGCATCCTGTCGAAAACCTTTAGCCCGTTCACGATGCTTCCACACCTTGCATATAGACTGATCACTGCGCTGGCCATGTAAACATCCAAGCCAAGTCTCTCAGCCTGCGAGTGTATAGCCATAGCTTTCTCCAAAGCCACAATCTTCACAAACTGTCCATCCCGTGAGCCCTTGATCGCTTCTTCCTTCTCTGCCAGACTCGAGCAGGCCTTGAGTGCCGTGACAAAGCTCCGAGAGTTCGCTGCATAGCCCTGGAGTAGCATCCGCTCGAACAGCTCCAAACTCGCCTCCTCCTCCCCGTGCAAAGCACATCCGGCCATCAAAACGTTCAACGAAAGTTCGAGCATCTGGCCGGCACGAGGAGCTCTCCTCTTTGCGCATGAGCTTGTAGACTTCGAGAGCTTTCTCGCTCTCTCCACTGTCTGCGTAGCCGGAGAGCAGTGCTCCAGGATACCAAGTCGTGGAGCGGCATTTGGTCGAAGACTGCTCGAGCGTCGGCCAAGCTTCCACACTTGGCATACATGTCGATCAAACTATTGGCCACGAAGATGTGAGAATCCAGCTCGCACTGAGAAGCTTGAAGATGGAATGCACTGCCTCGCTTGAGCCACTCAGCCTTCGACTCCTCCTTCTCGGATGTCAGGTTGCCGCAGGCCTTGAAAACAGCAACGAAAGTCCGAGCGTCCGGATCGCAGCCTTTGCGTTGCATTTCCTCGAACAGCTCCAAACTCACTTCACTCTCCCCGTTAACAACATATCCTAGCAGCAGTGAATTCCACGAAACCACGTCTCGACTCGGCATCTCGTCGAAAACTTTTCGAGCTTCCACCATACTTCCGCAGCGCGCGTACATGTCTACCAGGGAATTTGCCACCACCTTGTCCGAGAGAAAGCCACACTTCACAGCCTCCGAGTGGAGACGCTTTCCTTCCTGGAGAGCCTCGACCTTTCTTCCATCTAGTGACACTTCTTTATGCTCGGCCAGGCTCGCACAAGCCATGAAGGCAGCGACGTAAGTCCGAGCGTCTGGAACGCAACCTTCACCGAGAAAAGCATCAGAGCCATGTCCCCCTGGCCTCGCTCCACATATCCCAGAACTAGAGAAGTCCAGGAAACCACGTCCCGTTGAGGCATCCGATTGAAAACCCCGCGAGCGTTTCCAATGCTGCCACACTTGGCATACAAATCCACCAGAGTGCTGGCCACGAACATGTCCGAGTCACACCCGCTCTTCCCAGCTTGAGAGTGAATAAAAGCCAGTCTTTCCAGGCAGTCAGCCTTGCTCGTCTCCACCAAACTAGCACAGGCCACGAAGAACCGAGGATCTCGAAAAATCTGCTGAGATGTCACCAAGAGATCAAAGAGTTCCAGTCCCAATGCTGCTTCTCCGCTTTCTACATATCCCAGGATGAGAGACGTCCAAGTCACAACGTCGTGGAAAGCCATCCTGTCAAAAGCTCTTCTCGCACCACACTTGGAGTACATATCCACAAGCTTGTTTGCCACAAAGATGTTGGAGGTGACCCCAGCTTTCTCGGCCTCGGAATGAAGCACCAGTCCTGTTTCCAGCGCCTTCTCTTTCAAAAAAGCTTTCCTCTCTTTGCTGCTGCTGCTGCTGGTGGATATGTCTTTCTCTTTCGTTGCCAGAGCAGAACACGCCACGAGAACGGCCACAAACGTTTGAGCATCCGGCAAAGACCCTCCTCGCGACTCTTGCATTCGTGAAAAGAGCTCCAGCGCTCTCTCTTCTTCTCCATTCTCCACACAACCCTGGATAAGTGCCGTCCACGAGACCAAGCTGTGACACGGCATCCTCTCAAACACTGCTCGAGCATTGACCAGGCTCCCACACCGCGAGTACATGTCCACCAGAGTATTCGCCACGAACAAGTTCATCTCGCAGCCAGCCTCGGCAGCTCGTCGATGCATCTCTCTCCCTCTTTCCAGAGCTTGTAACTTGATCCTCTTCTTCACATCTTTCTCATCCCGCCAAGACTTTTCCCGTGAAGAACCATCTTCTCTGGCTGCTAGAACTTTTCCAGGAGAACCTTCTTCTCTGCCTGCTAGAACTCTTCCAGAAGAAGCATCTTCTTTGCCTGCTAGAACTCTTCCATCGCTTAACGAATTCCCCTGACCACCTTCCTTGGCTGCCAGATTCCCACAGGCCATGATCCCGGCCACGAAAGTCCGAGCATCGGCTCTACACCCTTCCCTCTCCATCCTTTCGAACAGCTCCAAGCCAGTCTCACTTCTTCCATTCTCCACATAGCCGAGGATCAAAGCCGTCCACGACACCACATTCCTGGATTTCATCCCGTCGAAAACCTGCCGGGCTTCCTCCATGCTGCCGCATCGAGCATACATAACCACCAGCGTCGTCGCGACGTAGATGCTACGCACAACGCCGCCGCCGCTCTCGAGGCAGCCTGCGACCTCGCTGGAGATCCCTAGACTGCTTGCATTCCTGGAGCGCGGCGATCAAGCCACGCTGCTGCTCGACAAGATTCACCTCCTCGCCAGCGCTTGCCCTTCCACCTCCTCCTCCGCCCCGTTGCGATGCCTGCTGCGATCGAGCTCGAGCCAAGCATTCCCTGGCCCCGCGCCTCGCGCATTGCGTCCCAGGCATCAAACATTTCGCTCGCAATCTAGGGTTTATAGAGGCATATTCATCGCCGTGCTAACGAATATTCTTCCGTAAAGAATATAGAAGAATAAGAATATTCGTGCGACGGAACTATGGGGAATTTCTCATCCTGTGATTGCCGAGGTGAGCTCCACCTGCATTGCCTGATTGAGTTCTTCCGGATCGTGTTTTGACGAATCTCTTTTTCTTTTTGTGTGTGGCAATGTGGTTCTTGGCAGCAGAGATTTGGTGAGCCATCTTTCACAGTTTCTTAAGTTTCGAGCTTCTAGTTTTGCTGGTTGGATCGAGTATAAGTGATGGGTTTTTGTTTCTCTTTCGCAGACTGTTGAGGAAACTGCAAGTACCGATGCTCTCTAACTCATGGGAGCCCGAGATGTGCAACAAGATGTGTAACATATGTTGTAGCAAGTGCTTTTGCGTTCCAAATGGCCCAAAAGCGAGCAAGAAAGACTGCGATGCCATCCTCAACAACAAGGGAAAGCCTAAATGCCCGTGAAAAAATCCCTTTTTTGCTCTCAATCACTATGATATATCTTCCATCTCTGTCCAAGTTTTAATAAAGCATCTATAGGTATATTCGTGTAGGACGATCCCGCCAAAATGCTACTCTGTTTTTAGGGTTCTTAGATGTGTGGATGAGTGCTTCCGGCTGACCAAATCCGTGCGCCACATTGCCGACTCCAGCAATGTCCATTCCCAGGTCTGCGATCGAGATTCATGTCCGCCGACCGCATCTTTCTGTCCAACCTCATCCAGATCTAAAATCCCCCTCTTCCGCCAGGAATCCTTTCTCCTGGCGCCAAATCCTCCTCTCCTGCCTCACCAGCAGCAGATATTTCTCTCGTGCGCTCTCTATCCTCACCAGGATGCCTGAATTGGATGTGGTTTCATCCACCGCAGCGGTGGCGGTGGCGGCCAAAGCTGCGGATTTGGATCTTATCTTTGATGGCATTCGATTCCCCAGCGTCATCTCCCGGAGCACGATCCTGGAACATTTTGGCCGGATCCACGAGCTGGAATACCTCCTCGATCGAATTCTCGAGCGAGAGATTGTTTCATGGACTATCCTCCTCGAAGGAAATTTTGCTCGATCCAAGCTTGTGTTTGGGCAAATGCCGCAGTGGAGTGCGGTGGCCTGGAACGCGGTGCTCTCTTCTTCCGTGAGATCCGGCGACTTAAACTGGAAGACCTTGCAAGCTTTGTAAGATCCAAGTCCAGGAAACTAAACAATCTGCATCCTTCAAATGACGACCAAAGGGATTTCCACCCGTGCGCATTTGTGTGTGGGCTCGTCAAGCCTCTAGCTTTTGAAATGTCCAGTCTCTGTGGCCATAGCCCCATGGCGAGCTTCTTATCACGCTAAGCTAGTTACCAGGAATTGAGCGGGCGCGTTTTGTTTTGGCCTACAAGCTCAGCAGTTGATCGAGCTGCTTGTTTGATTTGAGACACCTGAAAAGAACAACTAGACACTCCCTCATACGGAGAAAACCATCCAGTTCCATGAAGAGATCATGGAGGTATTGGTCGTCGTCTCCGTCACAAATCCAAAGCCTCGGGACTCCCTAGTAAAAGGCAACATTCTATAATGTCATTTTTTTTCACGATCAAAGCCTGGACAAAGGAGAAAGAAAAAGAAAAGGTTCACCTTGCATTGGCAAAGTTACTCTTCGAGCCATTCTCGTCAAAAGCCCTACAAGTTTACTCCGGCTCCTGAGAAGAAGGAAAAAATCAAATCCAAGTTACAGGAAACAAATTGCTATCCCTCAGGTGTTAGATTAAATTCAATCGACTATTCCACCAACAACGAAGGAAAGAAAGAGCATGACTTGCTCATACATATTGGTGGTGTACGATCCTTGGCTATAAAACAACACAAATCCACCAAGAACTTGCTCTCGGTGAATACTCTCAATGACTCTTGCAAAGTTTCTTGTTGTCTTTACCCTGCTCCTAGTGGCTAGCTCTTTTGGGCAGGGTGATGGAGATGACATGCCAATGCCAATGCCATCACTCAAGGGAGGCCACGATGCCAAAGCCGAAGGGCCAAGCGGGCCGGAAACCAGCATCAGCGGCCCGAATGTAACCAACAAGTATGGGCCCTGAACAAATGGTAATCGTTTTTTCTTTCTTCCATTACGTTGCTGACTGTGTTGTTTTGGTCTCCCTAGGAGACTCCACACTCAATAAAATTCATATGTTCTCCTAGTCTAATAGCAGCTCCAGCTCACGCAAGCTTGTCTCTAATTTGTGTGTTTGTCATGAGCGATCCGGCTCTCTCTGATCGGTTGTTCCATCTAAGTTTTCATGCCAATATCACTCGCTAGAGAATTTTTGCTCCTGCAGCGTTTCTCTCCACTTTGCTTCTGTCATAAGTCCTCCCCAAGGAAAAGAGTCGCCCCCGAAGCTTACGTCCGCGCGTAGTCTGGCTCCAGCTTCTTCATGAATTTTAGCCTGTATTCAAGTGGAGGCGACCGAGAACGAGACGCCCACCGCTATCACTGCTCCTTGAGGCGAAGAGATAGCAGCTTTCGGTACTCGGCGGCCTCGGCTCTGATGCGATCGGGCTTTCTCTGCACAGCGTCCACGGCGTAACCATCTTATTAAGATCGGAGCAGGAGTGTGAAATTCCAGTGTTTAATCGCGGACGTCGTCCTCCATTGCTAGCTCCTCACGAGCATTTTGTTTCGAAGTCAAGGTTTTTTTAGTGATTATGTTATAAGATAAGCAGCAATATATATACCAACATTTATACCACGAGACCTCTATGCCTGAGAAGAGCATTTATGCTGGGGCCTCTCCCACGGAAATCTTCAAAAACCTGCACAGCTTGTCGTGAGTTTCGTGTAAATTTATCAAAAGTTTTACTTTAGCAGGCGCTCTGCCTCCACCAAGCTCAAGGATTGTCTGCTTAAATAATTTTCCTGCCTTCTTAACAGCCTGCGAAACATACAAAAGCGAAACAATTGTCTTCCCACTCTTGATTGTTTTCACTCACAGTTTCATTTTCAAGGCCTGCTTCTTCAAATGCTCCAAAAGCATCTGATGACAGAACCTCAGACCACTGCACAGAATCATACCAAAATTCGTTTTGAGTGTCAAGATATGTTTTCTGAGGCCAGCTTACCAGGTAGCTATAGTAACCAGCTGCATACTCAGTTGCTACAAGAATGACAACCAACAACATAAGTCCAGTAAGAGAAAAAATACAGGAGAGATTAGAAATAGAGGAAAAACACATACTGGCAAATAAGTGGAGGAATTTGCAGATGGACTTGTCTTCAGGCAAAGGGGGTAATATCAATATCTCCCCTGCAACCTTGTTGCACAAGTTGTAAATCTCTTTCGAATTCACGGCTTCGAGCTTTGCATGCAGCTTGAGATCAATCAGAGATCGGGAAACCTGTGTGCATTCAAAAACGAGAAATTATTCCAAGAAAACATTTCTTCATTCGGCTTACCAGATAAAGAACGTTTGAAGCCGAGAAAAACGTTCTTGACGACTTGAGTTTCGTATATAGTGCCTCTGGGAGCTCTTGGCCAGTTCTATAGTGCATTGCAAAGCTCATCAAAGTGTTCCTGCGATCACGAGATTAGTTGAAGACTAGATTGTTACAATCGAATCAGACCTGTCATAGCACCAGTTCTCCATAAACTGGGAGGGAATCTCAACTGCATCCCACTCTATTCCTTCGGATCCAGCCACAAGACCCTCGTCCTGTTTGCTCAAAAGGTGCTGCAAAGCATGCCCGAACTCATGAAACAGCATTGTCACCTGCAAAGTTTCAATCATAAGTGCTCCGTCAAACTTTGCAGCGCTACCCAAAAGATCATGAATATAAAAAAGCCTACTGCTACTACCTCATAGAACGTCATCAAGCTTGGCTGATCGGGTAATGGTGGTGCCTGGTTGCAGACAATATGAGCGACAGGCAATCGCACCCCGCCACCTCTTTGCACATCTGCATGGCTTCTGTTAAAGACTACGCCCATCCAATTTCCACTTCTCTTCTGGTGCGGCCTCGAGAATGGGTCCAGGTAAAAGTATCCCAGATTTTCTCCGCTGGCGCATTCTGCCACCTTGTAAAGCTTAACTTCTTTGTCCCAGACCTGTTATTCAGATTGAGATAGATGGATCATAGTTTTGGCATGCACGCTTACTGGTGTATTTTCTTCCAGCTCTTCAATGTGGACGCCAAACAAGCGCTTCGCAAGGCTGAACAGGCCATCCATGACATTAGGCATGGAGAAATACGGCCTGAGTTCCTTCTAAGAATTCCAAAATAAAGTGAGCAAATATGACCAAGCCTTGGAAGGAAAACTTACATCATTCATGTCAAGCTTGGCCTCCCTGAAGCGCTCCGTTCAATATGGAATGTCCCAGTGGAACAAATTCTCATCTTCTTCTGAGTTTTCACTTCTCACAAATTCCTCAAGCTGCCGCATGTCTAAAACGAAGATCAACGAAAAAGAAAAACACTTGCAATAAGCTTTGATAGCAGAGAGAACATAGACCTCGAATAGCAGCATCTCGTGAACAACTATGCAGTTTTTCGAGAAGTGCATGACAAGAATCCAGTGTCGCCATCTTTTGAAGCATACTCACCTGTACTAAAAAGAACTTTTTAGACTCTCATGTATAGGTAATATTACCTGAGCATGGTTTTCGTATCCTAACAATTCCGCTTTCTGCTGGCGAAGC